GGCGAGCAGCCCGGGGCGCCTTTCGACGGCGCTTCCTCCGACGCTTCTTTGCAATCCGAGTCGCTCAGGGGGCCGTCGGGGTCTTTGCCGGCCGCCGGGCCCTTCTGCTCCAGGCCTCCTCCACCTGGGGGGGAAAGCCAAATAACGGGCCGTCAGGCCTTTCCAACCTCCGGTCCTCCCCCCCTCCGACACCCACCCCTTTCGCTTTCTCGACGGCGCCCACCGACCCCCGCTTCTCTGCCCAGCAGTCTCCTCTTTCTCCTTAAGAACCAGCGACTTGGTCCCCAGCTGCAAAGTCCCCCCAGGGCCAAACGAGGCCTCAGGCCAAAGCCCACCCCGACGGCTTCTCTCTCCCTCCCTGCCCGCCTCTCCCCCTTTCTACCTGTCTCCGGGGCCTCCTGGAGGTCGGCCTTCTCCTCCAGCTTCTGCGGGTCCTCCTCGTCGTTCTTCTCCAGGTCGATGTTCTCCTCCTCTTCCTCGTCCTCGCTCCGGTTGCGCGGCGTCCAGGTCATCTTGTTCTCCTTCTTGAGGCGCCGCCGGGCGTTGGCGAACCAGGTGGAGACCTGCGTGAGGGTCATCTTGGTGATGATGGCCAGCATGATCTTCTCGCCCTTGGTCGGGTAGGGGTTCTTCCGGTGCTCGTTCAGCCAGGCCTTGAGGGTGGCGGTGGCGTCCCGGGTGGCGTTCTTCCGGTAGGCCGGGTCTCCGTAGGGGTAGGAGCCCAGGGGAGCCGCGTAAGGGTGGTAGCCCAAGGAGCCCGCCATCCCGGGCGTGTGGTCGTAGGGGGAGCCCTGGAGGAGACGGGGAGGAGGGGAAGGGAGGAGGAGAAGGAGGAGAAGTCAAGCAGGCCGAGGGGATGAGAAAGCGCCTCCCTAGAACTAGCCTCGGAGCTAATAGACCGTCGGAAAGGGCCGCGCAATCCCAGGACGGTCAGCGACTTTAGAGCGTCTTTTCTTCTTCTTTTGCCAAGTCGGGCCTAGTCGTGCGCCTGTTCCCAGGTAGGGCCGTCTCCAGCTTATTTTGCACCCTAGGCAAGGATCCCTTCTGGCACCCCCCCCCGCCCACTAATTTCAAAAATAAATGCATTTTAGGAAGAATGAAAAATACAAATAATCAAGAAACTCCCAGAGTACGGGGCCGGGTGCAGTTTGGTGCCCCTAAGGGCCGTCCCACTCTACGCGTAGGTATGGAGTCGGCCCTGTTCCCAGACAGCCCCGCCGGGAAAACCCTGGCGTAAGCGGCTGGACTCGTCCAGAAGGCGGACCCCGTGGACTGTCCACCAGCCGCCCCTCGCTCCCGTGGCCACTTCCACCCTCCCAGTTGGCGACCCGCTCCCATCTCTGCGATATTACCCAGCGGTAAACGGGAACACATCACACACACACACACACAACCCGGTCCTTCCCCCTCCAACTGAGCAGCCCCCTCGCACACGACACCCTTCCACACGCCCAGACGGGACTTCCCGCGAAGCCCGCCGCGATGACCCTCCACGAACACCCCCCCCCTCACTCGCATACGGCCCCCGGAAAGATACCGGGACGCGAACCGATTTTTCACCACGACCGGCGTCTCTCCCAGAGGCCTGAATCGGCCTCTTTACGCCCGAGTTCACTTCGCTTACAAGCGCTTCTGGTGGGTTCCTCACCCGAGTCGGGGAGGGGGGGGGGAGAACCCACATGCTTTCTGCTGGCCGGGGAGACAGACCAAACTTCGCTTCCCCCTCTTTCATCTGCGGAGAGGAACCTGTCCCTTTTGGCCAAAGGGCTGGCGAGAGGAAGGTTCCCAGGTGTGTTCCAGGGCGAGAACTGGGTTTTAAATTTTATTTTTTCCCAGTAGTGCAGAAAAGCGGGATTGAAAACTCCCCGATCGCCCCTCCGCAACCCTGCTTTTAAAAAAACGAAAAAGAAAAAAACCCAATATCGTTTGGATGTCTCCAAACCGGCTGCCCGAGCCGGGATCATAGTTTTGCAACATTGCGGACGGTTAATTAAAGAAGTGGGGATAGAGAGGGAAACTGGCCCCGTTCTCTCGGCTCGCCCGCCCTCTTCTTCTGCAGCCCAACGGGGGAGCATCTAAACTCCTAGACTCGGATTTAAACAATTGGGGAGGGGGGGAAGGGAGACGTGGGGGGGGGGGGGGGGGGTTCACTTTTTAAAAACAAGGCAAAATTCAGAGACGTCTTTTCTCCACGCTGGAAATCCCTGGAACTCCAGGACTTCCGAATACGCTCGCCTCTTAGACTGGATTCTGCGGGGCTGCAGCGGCGTGCGGGGCGCTGGGGGTAGGGGTGGGGAACGACACTTGCTTCCGAGTAAACGCGGGGCTCGGCGGGGCTGCCCTCTCGCGCCCCCTTACCTGGGAGTAAGTGCCAGGCCACCGCGAAAGTGCCTTCGGAATAGGCACGCCCGGGATCGCGCTGTAACTTGTTCGTATTTAAGAGGGTTCTTCTTGGGTTCGCCGGCGACCGATTGGGAGCGAAGCACCCGCCGGCGCGCAAACGGCCGTTCCTCCGTTCCCGCGGACGGGGTGTCCTTCCAGTTCCCGTGCCCTTCCAGTTCCGTCGCCCCTTCCAACCGGACCGGTTGGCATTTCGGCACCTTCTCTCTCCCCGCCCCCCGTCCCGGTCAGCCTCCGAGAAGTTCTTTCGCGCTCCGGCTCCATCCCAGCCGAACCCGCCCTCCCCCTCCTCCCTCCACGTCTCCCCGGGACGGGGTCGCGATCCCCCAGCCCCGCAAGCCGCCCTTACCACGTAAGAGGAGAAAGCCGCCGCCGCCGCCGCGGCCGGATCCGTGCCGTACTGGAGGTGGGAGTTGTAACCGGGCGAAGGCGCGCTGAAGGCGGTGGAGCCGGCGTAAGGGGAGAAAGCCGAGCCAGACGACGAGCGGCCCAGCTCATCCGTCCGGGGTCCCGAGATCACGCTGGTGCTGTACGCCGGGCAGGAGTAGAGAGCCAGAGACGCCGACGGCTGGTATAAGTAGCCTTGAGGATACGACATGGCCAAGCGCGGGCATGCAGCCGCCAGCCAGCCAGCGCAGCAGCCGCGGCACGATCCGCCGCCCGGTCGGCTCTCCCCGTCGCTCTCGCCTCGTCGGAGGGCGCCTCTGCAGAGCCGGGCCGGCGGGCGAGAGGGAGGGAGGGAGAGAGAGAGGGAGGGAGGGCGGAGAGCCCCTGGGCTAGACGCGCGCCCCTCTTCGCCGCCTCCCCAGCGCAGCCGATCTAGCCGGGCGCTCTGGCGAGCGGTGCCTTTTCCCCCCACCTCC